TAAGCTTATCAGACGTTATGAAAATAAATAACGTAAAATAAATACACGGCAATTGTCTATATTATTTAATATTATTTATATATTATATTATTTAATGAAACATGTATGAATATATATATATATATATATATATATATATATATATATATATACGTTTTTTGTGTGTGTAACAATTGAGGGTAGTGTACAAAATAATGATGCACCTACACGGTGCTGTCTTAACTTGGTTCTGTTGAAGGGTACTATTATAGCTGCTAACAAAGTGGGTTCGTATCTTCAAAAGCGCTTTGTTCATTTTTAGAAATCCATTTTAAACTTTTAAAATTATAATTAAAAAAGAGATGGATTAACAAAAAAAAAAGAAAGAATTGTAACATATATATCTGATGATACATTACTCTTAGTAGGACGAGATATAAACAGACTCTGAAATTACAGATTGAAGCATATATATATATATCCGTCCTTTTTAGTCCTGTGCACTGTCTGTCTTTACTTTAAACATTTCATGCGCAGGCATTGCGCAATATTTTCGGGGATCATACTCGATGATGCGTATGGCTGGCCGTAGCCTTAACAGGTATAACTATTAGGATGAATCATAACAAACAGATACAGGCAATAAGGGCTACGGTGAAAGGACCTGGCCCGTGAGGTGTCCCAAGTCCTCGGAATTAATGTCGAAAGTACTCGGAATAAACAATGTGTATCAACACAGTAACTTTCTCTCTTCTTTTAATAATGACACCAAAAACTTGTCCGTGAATATAAAAGGATCCAAATGAAAATAGACAAAATTTGTCTAAATTATTCAATAAATCATATATATATATATATATATATATATATATATATCACATCAAGCAATCGGAAATACCACTAGTACGCAAGGAGAGAAACCCCAAACAACTGGAAGAGATAGTTATATATATATATATATATATATATATATATATATATATATATATATATATATTGTTGGATGTGTTACTGTCATGGATTAGTGAGACCTTCTAAAATTTACACAAAAAAATATTCTGCTTCAGAAACTTTCGTAGTAAACATAATTTTGGTTGTAAATATGTAATATTTATGAAGATAATATACGGATATCTTTCCTTAGGTCTTTATAAATTATACACTGTTCAACTATTGACGTTAATAACGAACTCTTAAATTGTACGAAAATTAGTTACAATATAATGTATATTACTTATAATACATTCCTTGTTGCCGTCAATTTTGACGGCACGGGTATACTAGTATTAAATAAAGAGTTAATTTAAAAATTCCGAAAATGTTACGACATACATGTAAAAAATGTCTGAAGATTGTAATGGCCGAATTGTTGTGAGTTTGACAACCAAGATTAGTATGATCGTCTTAATGATAAGGCATATTATCACAATAATCTTAGCCCCCTTCAAAACTGAGGTCAATCGTTATCTATTCTGCATATCGTCATAATCAGCACTTTTTATTTCCTCATCTTAAGTCCATAACAATCAACTCATTCTTTAACCATTTAAACTGAGTGACTCATTGGACCTTGTATTAGGTTACGGCCACAGTACAGTCAAACAGTTTCCTGTACGATCTTCGAAGTTAAGCTACGTCGAGATTGGTTGGTATCTATGGAGGCAACTGCTTAGAAATACCAGATGCTGTAAGCTTCGATGTGCGGGTGGTGTAATGGATAATGGCTCTGAATTGTTAAGACTAGCTCCAGTTTCCCTTCGGTTCGTTATATACATCCTTCATTTATATTATTTTTGCAGTAAACATAATTTTGGTTGTAAATATGTAATATTTATGAAGATAATATACGGATATCTTTCCTTAGGTGGTTATAAGTTTGTACACTGTTCAAC